CCTTTTCCAAGTATTGTTGCATCCTTGCTTCCCTAGCTATGTAAGTCCCCAGCATTTGATTAACCACGAGCTGCGAGTCACTTTTGATCACTACTTGATTTATACCAAGTTCTCGTGCCAATTCTAAACCTGCAATCACAGCTTCATACTCCGCTTCATTGTTAGTTACGGAATGACATTTAATGGCTTGCCTAATAGTTTCACCTGTAGGTGGTACTAAAACAATTCCTAATCCTGCACCTTTTACATTAGATGAGCCATCAGTAAATAAGGTCCATGTTCCTGGATTAGCCCCATTAAGTACTTGTACTTCTTTTTCTGCTTCTAATTGCATCCCTTGGCTAAAGTCAGCGACGAAATCAGCTAATATCTGTGATTTTATTGCTGTTCTAGGTAAGTACGTGATTTCATATTCACTTAGCTCTATGGCCCATTTAGCTAACCTCCCTGACAATTCATGTTTATGCAATATATTACGTAGGGGGTATGCAGTCACTACAACAATGGGATGACATTGAAAATAAGGTCTTAACTTCCTAGATGCCATGATTAGAGCAAGTGCTAATTTTTCCAATTGTGGATACCGTGTTTCTGCATCTAACAAAGATTTACTAACATAATAAATAGGAGATTGTTTACCCTGCTCTTCTCGTACCAAAACCGCGCTTACCGCAACTTCTGAAACAGCAAGGTAGATGAAAAGTTTCTCCCCAGCCTTGGGTTTTGCTAGCAAAGGTGGATTTGACAAGTATGTTTTCAAATCTCTAAGTGCTTGTTGACACTCCTCATCCCATTCAAAATGATCCTGCTTCTTAAGAGCCGAGAAGAATTTAAAACATTTTTTCGATGATTTAGAAATGAACCTTCCCAAAGCTACGATTCTTCCTGTTAGTCTTTGAACCTCTTTCTTGTTGGAAAATATATCTGGAATTTCTTCAATGGCCTTAATCTGTGCAGGATTCACTTCAATACCACGGTTAGAAACAAGAAAACCTAAAAATTTTCCTGATGCCACACCAAATGCACATTTTTCTGGATTCAACTTCATATTATATTTTCGTAAAATTTTAAACGTATCAGATAGGTGCGATATATGATCTTCTGAATGTTGAGTTTTAACTAGCATATCATCTATATATAGTTCCATGGTTTTACCTAAATGTTCTTGAAACATTTGGGTGACCAACCTTTGATACGTTGCACCTGCATTCTTAAGACCGAAGGGCATTACCTTGTAACAGTAAGTCCCCCTGTCTGTTATAAAAGAAGTTTTTTCTTCATCACCTGGATCCATCTTGATTTGATTATAGCCTGAATATGCATCTAAACAACTTAATAGCTCATGCCCTGCAGTAGCATCAATTAACTGGTCTATGTGCGGTAAAGGAAAGAAATCTTTTGGACAGGCTTTATTAAGGTCTTTGTAATCTACACAGACTCGCCACTTACCGTTCTTCTTAGGAACCACAACAGTATTAGCTAACCAGTTAGGATATTTTACCTCACGAATTGAACCAATTTTTAGCAATTTTTGAACTTCCTCTTGAATCACCTTATTTTTTAAAGTTCCTTGCTTTCTTTTCTTTTGCTTGACGGGAGGATATGATGGATCTTCATTCAACTTATGAGTCATGACTTCCGGTGGTATCCCTGTCATGTCAGAATGGGACCAAGCAAAACAGTCCGCATTAGCTTTTAAAAATTCAATCAATTTACGTTTTACCTCCGGGCTAAGATTAGCTCCTATGTACACTTTTCTCTCGGGCCAATGTATAAATAACACCACGGCCTCTAGCTCTTCTATCGTTGTTTTGATGTTCTCATTCTCCTCCGGTTCTTGAATGGTATCAGGCCTTGAATCCAGATCTGTTTGCTTTTGCTCAGGTGAGGTTGTTTCCGTGTTACCCTCACCTAAATTCTATAATTCCTATTTGTCTTCACCTTTAACAGTTGAATCTGCAACGGAATTGATGCTTCTAGATGCTTGTTGATCGCCTCTGATTTGGCATATTCCCCATGGAGATGGGAATTTAATAACTTGATATAAAGTTGAAGGAACAACTTCCATGTCATGAATCCATGGCCTCCCAAGAATTATATTGTAAGCCATTTACATATCTACCACTTGAAATTTGGTATCTTTAACGACGCCTTCTGCGAATGTGGTAAGTATTGCCTCCCCTTTTGTTACGACATTAGAGTTATCAAATCCCGACAAAGTATGCGCCTTTGGGATTAATTTATCCTCCGCTTGCATCTCGCGCAATACCCATATTAAAACAATATTTACAGAACTACCTGGATCAACCAAAACTCGTTTCACGTTAGTGTCATGTACAAGTAAAGATATTACCAGTGCGTCGTTATGCGGAGTTATGAGTCCCTCGGCGTCTGCGTTGTTGAATATAACATTCTCCTCTTCCAGTACATGTCGAGGCGTCTTCCCGTGAGTAATTGTCACTTTTGAAACCTTTTTATATGATACATCATTGATCTCTTCACCTCCACTTATAACGTTGATAGTTCTCTTGGGCGAAGGTGGTTTTGGAGGCTCCTATCTGTTCTTCATGTACGCTTGTTTACCTTTCTCACTGAACAACTCAGTAAGATACCCTTGTTTTAACAAATGATCAACTTTACCTTGTAGAAACCTGCAATCTGCTATTTTATGCCCATGATCGTTATGAAATTCGCACCAATGATCAGGGTTTCGTCTGTTCGGATTTGATCGCATTTCCTTTGGCCATCGTACCTTATCTCCCATGCTTAAAACAGCCACGAGTTCAGAGGTGCTTATATTGAAGTTGTAACCACCAAACCTTGCCTTTAGACTTCCATCATCGTCTCGTGACCCGCATGTGTTTCGATTATTCCCGAACCTTGATGAGGAGCCTGATTCCCTGTTCCTAGGTTTGTGATCGTACCTTTGATTATCTTGCCTTGATCGTGAGTCTTTCCCCGCAGGTCCCATGTATGGTTCGTACCTGTTTTTACCGGATCTCTTTTCATTTTCCACACGCCTTGAGCTTACCTTTTCTTCAGTTTTGTGTCGTAAAATAATGTCTTCTTCAATCCTCATCTTTGTACTGTATCTGTTGTAGACATCATTCCACGTTGTTGCTGGGAATTCTCGAAGGCTTTCTTTGAGTCGCCCCGTGGCTTCTGAACTCTTCTCATTCAAATTACTAGCAAAGGCTATGGCTGCCCAATTGTCAGGTACTCGTGGCAGCGTCATTCTTTCCCGTTGAAATCTATCTACAAACTCTCTAAGTAACTCTGAGTCTCCTTGCTTGATTTTGAAGATATCTTCCATTCGCTTTTCAACTTTTTGAGCTCCCGAGTGTGCTTTGATAAATAAATCTGCAAGCTCAGCAAACGAATTTATAGAATTTTCGGGTAAAAGAGAATACCATGTTAAGGCTCCTTTAGTGAGTGTTTCACCGAATTTTTTGACCAAGACCGACTCAATTTCTTGCTTAGTCAAATCATTTCCCTTGACACCTGTTGTGAATGCAGTAACGTGATCTCGTGGATCTGATGTACCATCATACTTTGAAATATCAGGCATCTTAAACTTCTTTGGAATTGGGAGGGGAGTAGCACTTGGCTTCCATGGTTGTTGGGAATATTTATCTATATCCACTCCCTTGATCACGGGCGGTACTCCAGGTATTTGCTCTATGCGTTCATTTTGCTCCTTAAGCTGTTTCTGCAAGGTTAGTACTAGATTTTGTAAATCAGAGTTAACTGGATTACCTGGGTCTCTTTCTTGTGTTTCACTAGGGGTTCCACCGCTGCCTGAATTAACCAATCCTGAACGAGGATTCTCCAAAGTGTTGTTGTTTGGAGTAGATGTGGGTGGAACAGCAGGTAATTGGCTAACAAAAGCTTGAAGAGCATTATTGACTTGAGAGGCAATAAGTTTTTGCAGAGCCTCATTCATGGTTTCAACATTTTCGAATTGAGCTTGTCCATCTGTGTGAGATCCATCAGGAGTGCCTTCACGAGACCGTCGTGGGGAGCCTCGTGGAGAACCTTGTGGAGAGCCTTGTGGGGAATCACCCTGAAGTTGTTGGATTATCTGAATTTCTGGGTTTCCTTGAGTGTTGTCATTGTTGTTCGACATGATTGATGCAATCAAGAAAATTAGGTTGAGATATGCTTGATTATCAGATTCCCGGTAACGGAACCAATCTGTTTAACCAAAAATTAGATTTTAGGTCAAAGCTTGAATTTAGAAGAACTCAGGTTACTGATAATCGGAAAAGTATATAAGAAAGAGATTTTGAATGATATAATCAGAAAGCAAAAAAAACAAAGTTTATTCCAGTAATATTTTCTCGTGTCCTATAGATGTTATGACTTTCTCCTTTTATAGTTAATTTTAAGAGAAAGTGTAATGCCTTTGTCTTAATGAGGCAATTACGAGCAATAAATGACATTAAAAGAAACGTTACTCAATCATTCATATTAAATATAAATTCTCTAACGTATTTGGCATTTAATGCTGAATTGGGACTCTTTTTCGTTATCAGATTCATGTCTTCAATTCCTTTTTGATCTTCGAGCTTTAAATGACTCGAATAGGTACGAGTCTCGTTTCATTTGAATAATAGCTCGTGCCTTTAAGTATCTTCTCTCCTGCATCTGTAGTTGCTCGTGCCTTCTAACTGATTACCACGCTTTGACTATTTGACCGGTCCACGTGCCATGACACGTCATCTTTAATATTTAAATTCAGTTTTTTCCCAATACACTTCTATCTGCCAACAATAAAAATTGTTCATTGTTTAGACTTATTTGTGCATTAAACGAAAAAATTAAACCAAGCTGAACTCCAAAGACTATCAAGCTGCATTCATCGTCCATATGATTTGTTTCATACATATGCATATTCACACAGTCAGGCCATACTATATGATGATCATCCAAAAATTTCTAGTTTCTTAAAGTGGATTAAATAACATAATAAACAAAAGGGTAGATACGACCTAGACATTTTACTCTATGGAGATACTTATGTCACTTAAATCTTTTGGTAATGTGAGCCCATTGAGTTCAATATGGAATGCATGAACAGTTGAACACAACAGGAAAAAGTCCATAACTTTCACCGCTATCCAACCACCATTGGTGACTCCGCCCACATTATTGTATATGTACATGATAGGAAAAGGTCCTGAAGAGGTAAAATGATTAAGAACAAGAGCAGAAAACTCGTACCACTGAGTATATATGTATGAAATTTAGTGTGATAATCCTTAAGACTAGTTGATTTTGGATCTTCCTTCCACCCCCGGCTAACGTGAATCAGAGCAATAAAAGCCAACAGCACAACTGCACCGGAAGGAGAAAGCATGCTTCTCTTTCCATTACCACCAATTAACCAATTCCCAAGCACTTGGCTTCCAATGAAAGATGAAGATTCAGCAAAAGCCATTAACCAAAACATGTCATTCATCAAGTCTTGCCTCTGTCCCAGCTGCAAATAGTGACCGTAAAGAGACTATATCTTAGTTAACTATATGAAACTATTCCACTGAAATAATTCCAAAGTCATAGATAAAATCTGAACCTGCGCCTAAAGTTAACATGAACTTGGCAAATGATCAACTAAAAGCACTTGAGCTGCTACTGATAGCTAAGAAACCTATTCTCAAAAGAATATAGTTATAAGGCTCCCTCCTTTTTCTCTTTGCTCCATTCATTTATGCCAAATAAAATATAAAACGACAAAAACCTCGAACTAGCAGGTGGCAAACATTTGTCTTCTCACATGCAGAAGAAATGACCGCCCTTTCCCCCTAAAGAAAGAAAAAGAAAAGAAGTTATTAAGACATACCTTATCGTGCTCAACAACCATCCCTGTTTCAAAGTTAAAGAAAAAGATCGTTGACGCAAGAGAGAGACAGATGCTAGCAAGCCAAACGCTTGGATCTGCAGTTACCCTCTTCCATATGGCAATAAAAAGGTGCAGCGAGCAGAATAACAAGCAGACTTTTTTCTGGCCACTGCACGGGGAGATGTGTTAAATGGTAATTCCATCACAACTTGATAGCAACAATCAATTTAATAATAGTAAACATGGCGCAGCACCATATACTTGAAAACACATCCTAGCTAAAGAAAGCACTCCAAATTCATGCTAATGGCACAATACAGAAGAATTGCGATTCATAGTTCCCCAAATATGATGTACTTATAGAAAATTCCACAAATATGTAGTATAAAATTTCAAAAAAATGAAAGAAGAGTAACATCCTCGCTATGTTCCAATTTATGTGACCCTCTTTCCTTTTAGTCTGTCTCCAAACGAATGACATCCTTCTATATTTAGAAATAATTTGACTTTAAAATTTCTATTTTAACTTAATGTGATGATTTATAGCTACAGAAATGCATGTGCCTTATTTTAGACCATAATTTCTTTTTTATTTTTAAAAACTTCTTTCTTCCTTATAAATTGGAAGGGAGGTAATATATCATAAGAAATTTTTGTTCAGTTTTTTTTTATTAATGGAAGTAAAGTTTTTTCCCCCTTACGAATCAGGGAAGCAGAAAGTGAATTTAAAAAAATCAGTAGAAGTCTTACATCAAATCAGAGAGCATGCCTAGAAATGTACCAACAAAGAGAGCAGCTGCATATCCAAGACACAGAGAAACAATCATCTGCTCCCTACTAATGCCATTGTATGCCATCTCATATTCTCGAAATACTTCCCATAAGCCTTCCATAACTGTGAAAGTAGTTTGATATGAATCATAGCTGTAACATATATATCGACTAAATTGCACTGAGTACATAATACTTTAGCATACCTGAAGAAAGAGAAAATAGGAAGAGGAAACATCTTTGGAAACGAATGAAAGAAGAAGGGGCATGATCAAAGACCGAAGAACTTCTGCCGTCGCTATTGGATTTGATTGGCAAACAGAAGACGGACAAGCAGCATGATACGAATATGAATAAATAGATTGCTGGATTTGGCTCCCACCAATGTTTTAAAACGCCGGTGCGTGAGGCTATGCGTTTTACTCTGACGAGGCGAGGGTAAGCCCTGACACAACGGTCGTAAGTCCCACGAATCTTTAAATTTTACTAATTTCAAGAATTTTAAAATAGTATAAAATAAAAAATAATTATAAAAATTACGTTAAAATTCACAAATTATAAAAATAATCTATTTAAAAAAATTTATAAATTATAATTCAACTANTCGTGTCCTACAGATGTTATGACTTTCTCCTTTTATAGTTAATTTTTAGAGAAAGTGTAATGCCTTTGTCTTAATGAGGCAATTACGAGCGATAAATGATACTAAAAGAAACGTTACTCAATCATTCATATTAAATACAAATTCTCTAACGTATTTGGCATTTAATGCTGAATTGGGACTCTTTTTCATTATCAGATTCATGTCTTCAATTCCTTTTGATCTTCGAGCTTTAAATGACTCGAACAGGTACGAGTCTCGTTTCATTTGAATAATAGCTCGTGCCTTTAAGTATCTTCTCTCCCGCATCTGTTGTTGCTCGTGCCTTCTAACTGATTACCACGCTTTGACTATTTGACCGGTCCACGTTCCATGACATGTCATCTTTAATATTTAAATTCAGTTTTTTCCCAATACACTTTTACCACCAATCGAGATTTGTATCTGACCAGCTTGCCGTTTCCATCCTTCTTGAGCTTTAAGACCCACTTGCATTTGAGCGGTCTTTTGCCTTTTGGAAGTTCAACCAGTTCGTATGTTCCATTCTTCTATAGAGAATTCATGTCTTGTTGCAAGGCTTCCATCCACTAGATTTGTTCTGGATGAGATAGCACCTCCTTGAAATTCTTTGGCTCCCTCTCATCGGTGACAAGGATATACTCTGAAGAAGGATACCTCGTGGACTCCACCTTCTGTCTTTCAGATCTTCTCAAAGGTTGTTGTCCCTCTTATTTTTGTTGTTGCTCTTCTTCTTCCTCTTGTAGAATAGGATGCTCCCCTTACTCTTCAACCTCTTCATCTATACCTTCTGTGTGCCATTCTTCACCCGTGGAAGAATTACGTACAGGTACAGTAGGAGTAATAACAAAGTTAGTAGCTGTACCATTATCATTTTTGGTCTTCATTGATTGATCACTATCAATCCTAACCACATCTTCTCTGAAGATCACATCTCTGCTTCTGATGATCTTTTTCCTTTCTGGGTCCCACAATCTGTAGCCGAACTCTTCATCTCCATAACTAATGAAAATACAGGGAATAGCTTTGTCATCCAGCTTCGTTCTCTGCTCCTTCAACATATGTGCAAAAGCTTTACATCCAAACACTTTAGATGGGAGTAGGACACCTCTTTGTTTGTCCAGACTTATGTCAAGTTACAATGGAACCGATGGACTTCTATTAATCAAGTAACAGGCTGTGCGAGCTGCTTCACCCAAAAATGACTTAGGTAGTTTTGCCATTTTGAGCATACTTCTCACTTTTTCAACAACGGTACGATTCATTCTTTCAGCTACGCCATTGTGTTGTGGGGTTCTAGGAACTGTCTTCTCATGTAAGATTTCATGGCTTGAGCAGTAGTCTTGCAAACTCTTTGAAGTATATTCTCCTCCATTGTCTGTCCTGAGATGCTTTAATTTTTGACCTGTCTCCCTCTCCACTAGAGCATGGAATTTCTGAAAGACTTGAAATACCTAGTCTTTTGTTCTCATGAAATAAACCCACAATCTCCGTGAAACATCATCAATAAATGTGAGAAAATATTTGTTACCTCCTATTGATTCTGCATCCATTGGACCACAAATATCAGAATATAATAAATCAAGTATATTCGATTTTGTTCCATGGTTGCTTGAAATGATACCCTGTGTTGTTTTCCAAATAAATAATAATCACAAGAATTCACAGTTATACCTTTTGCAGATGAGATGAGTGACTTCTTGGATAGGATCGGCAGTCCTATCTCACTCATATGGCCCAATCTCCGGTGCCATAAATCTATTGGTGTAAATCTACAGCCGCATGTAATCGACCTTCACATATCTCATGGGTTGTCTTGTACAACGTGTAGGGACCAACTCCTTTAGCAATCACCAATGATCCCTTGGTGAGTCTCCACTTCCTATTGGCGAAATGATTCTCGTACCCGTCTCGATCTAGAGCGATCCCTGAAATCAAATTCATTCGTAGATCTAGTACGTGCCGCAAATCTTTTAAAACTAATGTGCATCCGACATTTGTCTTGATACAAATGTCGCCAATAGCCACAAACTTTGTGTGACTGGTATTTCCCATCTTGAACATCCCAAAGTCTCCTGCTTTGTACCTACAGAAGAATTTTCTTACCAGTGTGGCATGGTAGGTTGCTGCTGTGTCAACCACCATTCGGACTCTTGTCTTGATAACTGCATGCATTCCTCCTCCTCGTGAACGAAGAGAACCACCGAATCATTATTGTGCACTGCAGAAGTTATGTTATCATCATTCTTCTGGCCACTGCTCTCGCCTTGACCTTTTTTTGGCAATCTCTTTTAAAGTGACCGGGTTGAACGCAACTGTAGCAATTTGTATCCTTGTCGATGCCCCCTTTTTCTAAAGGCGAAATCGGATTTACGACATTTGGGCGGACAACTCAGTTCCTTTTGGGAATTTGGGTTTGAGATTTAGAAGAGTCGCCACCTAATGATTAAGTGCATTAGGACACTAAGAATTTAAAAGAAAGAAGAACCAGAGAATGGGTAAGGGCTTGAAATTATCTCAGGGGGAAGGTGTTAGGCACCCCCCAAGATCCACTAGTGTGGTTCCCGGTCATGTTACAATTGTGACTTTAAAACAAGTAAACATACAAGACAACTTCCACATAACGATTACAAATAGGAATGTATAAAGGTTAAATAAACATGCTGAAGTCAGGGAATAGGTGGTTTCATAGTTGTTTAAAATAATGTATAAGTGCAGAGAAATGAGGATCAAATAACGAGTGCAAACAATCAGACAAAAGAAGTGAAATGGGCGGAAGTTTAAAAAGAAAACAGTGCTGGAAATTCAAAGAGGTTTTAAATGATTTGAAGCGAAATACAAGGTTTAAAGAGCTGGAAACTGACAGTTTAAAGAAAACAATAACGAAAGTACATAAGGAGGGAGGGGGGTCCTAGGTTTATACATAACATGGATCATCCACGCAACACCCGGTAACCAATTATACGCGTGGTGTTATCGCGTGATCATCATATCCATGTCTACCCTTTCCCACCCCGTTAAGGTATTAAAGCGCGGAATAGTATCATTACTTATTGCATGCTATTACCCGTCCCGATCCTTTCAGTCCCGGAGGCATTGAGACTACTAATCATAAGGGGAGGGAGTTGGGGCTTTTCAAAAGTTTTAAAAGGATAAAAGTCTAGGCGAAAAACAAAAACACATAATCAAATAGGGGAGAAGCAAACAACAGTTAAGGCTCAAATAGGCCTCCTCACTTAAAGGCAGATATATGGCATGACTTCAAATACTGGTTATGGTCTGAATTACATTTAAAAGCGTTAGGACAGGCTGATTTATCACATATTTCTCAGATGAGGAGTCCGAATTAGCCTTGTCTGGTTGTAGTTATCAAAGCTGATACAGTTAATTAATTACCTAATGATTTGCCTAAGTGAGACCTATAAGCATGATATCTAACAGAGCGTACTTATTTTAGAGAAAGGATCACTGGTTTTATAGACGAAAGATCTGCAGATTTTAAACGAACTTACGACTGGTTTCAGACTTCGAAGCTGATTCAGTTGATTATTCCTATAGGCATGATTTCTAAGAGTTATTGGTTTTAAAACGATTACAGAGATGCAAGAGTCCTATAGGCATGGTCTCTAGAATGCAATTGATTATTATTAAGCCTACGATTGTTTGCCTAATGACATGTATATGCAGAAATACAGAAAACTTATAGGCATGATTTCTAAGATGGGAATGCAGAAATAAATAACCTATAGGCATGCTTTCTAAGATGAGAATGCAGAAATAAATAACCTATAGGCATGCTTTCTAAGATGAGAATGCAGAAATAAATAACCTATAGGCATGCTTTCTAAGATGAGAATGTAGAAATAAATAACCTATAGGTATGTTTTCTACCCTTTTTCATACATTCATCCCCATCACTTTCCACTAATCCATCCCCCAATAGTTATTACAAATTATTACAGACCCGAATGAACCAAAAGAAACAAAAGTAAAATTACATCAAAAGTTACAGCTACAACCAAACAGCCTAATTCAGACTCAAAGTCCAAAAATATGAGATAAACCAACTTCCAGGATCAGATTTCCAAAAGCCTTTCTCATCCTTTGGGTGCGTCAAAGTTCCAAGGAGCTTCATGAACTCCAAGCAATGCTTACACCCAATTACATTGCAGAATTAAGATTATGGTGCAGTGTGGAATAGCCAGCCCTCGAATGTCCAAGTTCAGAGGGAGCTCCAAGTCCCAAAGCAAGGCTCATAAGAGGGCGGCAGAACTTAAGAGTCTAAGAATAAGTGTAAGTGCATGGGGGGGGGGGGGGGATTCGGAAAACCATGACAAGCTGGTGGTCATGCCCAGCAATTGGGAATGCTGGCACACCCCTGACTAGCCTGTCAGCCAAAACATGGGAGTTAGGATCCATTGAGGATCAGGTTCAGGCCTGAGCAGTAACTTGGATACTGCCAGGCCAAACTTTAACTCAGACACATAGAGGAAAATAGGGGTAGGGATTCACAATAGAAATAGATACAGGGAAAGAACATACATAATTTAATCACTGAACATACACAGTAAAGAGAACAAGAATGCTGAAACTATAAAGTAAACACATAGAGGTGAGGCACAAAAATTAAATCAGACATACCAGTTTTAGGGAAAACAGGTAAAAAACAGTAGTCTTGATAAGCCAATTTGTAAGCGAACAGTTCCAAAAGATCTCAGAAAAGCAGAGTGTTGGGAGAGTATTGAACTCGAAGAAG